AGCCTTGAACTTCACTGTGGCTCCAGTCGTCAACGCGCGAAGTTCCCTTTGCCTGACCTAGTCCGTCAGTCGTCAGTCAGTCACCCTAGTCAATCAGTCATTTCGTCTTTGTACACCCACTTCCCCTCTACGTCGCACGATGGCAACACCCACACCAACCTGAAAAACTTTAGAAATCCATGAAGAATAATAATACTCTACTCAACGGAATTTCATTATTATATGGATACATTTATTATAACAAGCAATAAAAAAAAATAATCCTACTACATAATGTATTTCTTATACTAATTGTCTTCTACCAACAAACGATTTCCAATCTTTATTATTATTATTATTTTTAACTAATTATCCTATGTGCTTTAAGTCTAATAGCTACTGCTTTACAACTGCCTTATTTGCGAACCTCTATTCTTCTTTTGTATTCTATTGTATACTATTGTTCCGCCCTTTTTACTTCTATTATTCTTGCCTTTTCTTCTTTTTTTTCAAGCTTTCCTATATTTTTTAGTATCTAAATGTGCATTTACATATATGTTTAGCAAATGTATTTTTGTATATACATTCACCGTCTTACATATGTAATATATGTGCCCATACGCACAAACGCACGTTCCAAAAGAATACTCCTTTTTTTTTTTTGTCAACGGCCCTTCCTAATGTCGATATATATGTACATGTATGTTTATGGGAATAATAGCAAAATAGTGATTTCTCACTTACCAGTGTGTGTATGTATGTAAAGTGTGAGGAGAAAAAAACAAACATACATGTCTACATGCACTGTAAAGGAGAGCAAAACAAAGGAACAGGTGGTGTAGTGGGCCACTTTGGTGGGTACCTGTGCGTACTTATTTACTCTCCCTTTCAGTTTAGCCTTTTTAACCGTCGCGGAATCAACTTAAAATCGCTTGTACGTGTAACCGAGGCGCGGGTGGATAAAAACATTAAGTGCTTATACAAGAACATACAAAAGAAGTCGAAGAAATTCTAATGTACATATAAAATTACATATGCAAAATTCAAAGTGATCCTCGACTAAAAAAGTGCGTAAATGAACAAACAAAAAAAATATAATAAAATTTACTAAGACACAAAAAAATTTACTGTATTTGTTTAACATAAGAGCATTGATGTTCAAAGTGAATGTAGTGTGTAAATTAAAGTATAATAACGTAGTAGTTGAACAAAGAATCAAAAATAAATGCTGAATAAAGCAATGTGGTGTGATAAAATTAATCTTAAAAACAACCTACCGCAAAAGCAGTGAACCAAGAGATGTGGTGAAATCAAAAAACACACTAACTTAAAATTCACAATAAACGCCGTGTACTTATTATAAAAAAAACGCAATTTAGCAAAAAAAACAAAAGAGTGATACATTAATATATACCTAACCCCAGGTGTGGAAGTGACTGGACGCTCAATGCGCTGGTGATGCCGGATTTATTAGCGTTCGGGAATGTAGCGCCGATACTGGTGATGGATTGGTGAGTTGGCTTAGTGCGGTAATGTGTTGTGATGAAGTGTATTGGTATGATGTGGTGACTGGATATGCTCCGACGTGTAATCTTGCCCCCCTTTGATTTGGGATTCGGGCACTTTGGCTGGATGATTTGGCTGTTGTTACCGGTGTATTTGTGTGTGTGTGTGTGTGCTAAACTTCCAAGTAGTAATTTTGGACGCTGGTGTTGCAGTGTGGACGTGTGTGTTTGGCCTCGTAGTGGGAATTATGGCCGTCCGCTCGAGTGTGGCTGGGTGTAGTCCTTCTCGTAGAGGCTTTGTCGCCGGTCACTGACGCGGGCGTATATTTCGCCGACGGGGCACTTAGCGTTACTTTATATATTGTTAGCGCGACCCGGGTTTGGCAAAAATTTAGCACTTTCACATAGAAATGTCTGTTTTTCTTTTGTAACTTAAACTTTTAAACTGTGATTAATTCGTTTTTTTTTTGTTTTGACGAGTAAAGGTCTCCGCGTTAGAGCAACTCCGGCTTTCAATATTGACTTGTTCAAAAGAATCTCGCTTCAGGCTTCTACTGGCTATTTAAACATTTTTCTCAGCCTTTGTTTTGTTACGGTGATTCTTCAGTTATCCTTTTGTTTACGCTCACACACATCCACACGCGCACAGTTCAGCCAATAGCAAGATCGCTCCAGCCAAATCACGACATCCAACATGTTGTATTGCACCCGCTATTTTGACTTTGGACTTACCATACGGTTATGAGTGGAAAGTTTTATTTCGTTTACATCGAAGTTCCTTTGTT